AACCTAGGTACTCAAGTTCTCCTCTTGCAAGAAGAGGACTTGGTAGCATTGATTTGAGTCCGGCTTCTCGAAGCCTTCGGAGAACTTCATCCAACTTTTCAACGTGATCTGCTAGATCGCCGTTAGTTAGGATGAGTAGATCATCAATGTATGCACGGACGTATTCTAGGTCGTGCATTATGTTCCCATCTTCTCTTGGAAGATGTCGGGACATTACATAGGCCCATTGGCAACCTCTGGTACTCGTACTTTCCCCACGGGAGTACAGATGGTACAGAGTTGCTTCGAGTGAGGTGACAGCTCGATGTATAGTATCCCATGTTCAGGTCTAGACTAGTAGCGTACTTGAATCCGTCTAGATTCAAGAGCATGTCCTGTATTTTGGGATAGGATAAGGCTTCCGCTTATCCTTTTGTTCAGTTCCCGGATCAGAGATGAATCGTACAGATCCTCTTTCTTGGGAATGATGAAAGTTGGTGCCCCCACTCGGAACGGTTTACCTTCTTTGAGTACTCCTGCCTCGCAGAGACGTTAACCTCCATCTTAAGAGTGTTGGTATGGACCCGTGGAATAGGGTAGCCCTTGCATGATAGGGTTTAGCATCAGGAAGAAGTTCTACTTCGTAGTCGTCCATGCCAACTGCCACTTTCCAAAGTACCATCGAATAAGTCAGAGTACTTTCGTCAGTAAGGAGTGAAGCTGTTCCTTCTCTTCCGTGTTTAACTGATCTTGACTTTGCCAAACCTGCCTTAAGTCAATTGTTCGTATGTGCTATCAAGAATCTTCTGAGAAGATCTGCACTGTCATCGACAGCGGCAGAGATCAGGAATGAAAAAGTTTTCTTCTTATTGGTGTCGCTATCTTTAATAGGAATAGATAGCCGCCGTCCATTTCCATTGACATGGGTAGTGAAATCGAACTTGAAACCTAAGTCAGAGAAAATATCTACGACTATGATCATGTCATACGCCCCCAAGCTCTTTGTGACGTGTAAGTCCCATCGACTTATTCTATCTTCGTGGAATTCAGGAATCATGAATGCACCTTTGCACTTCGTGCTGGTGTTTAATTCTCCCTGCAGGGGTAGTCCACATCGTTTGGACGCCCCAATTCCTTCATGCGTAATTTCTTAGCATGAGTTTAGCAATCAAGTTCGATGCTCCTTTTGTACCAGTAAGCAATGGAGGGTAACGGGTTTTGGTTTTCCCTTTTTCTCGCTTGTTAAATCTAACATAAACGATGGGTTTGAGGTCTCTTGTTTTGCGACGTTTACGAGGTGTTTGGCCACGGACGAGGTTTACGATGCTAAATAGATCATCAGAGTCTAGTTGAGCGACTTTAGGCAATCATCTAATTTGCCGTAGGTTTCATCAGTTGCAAACAATTCTTGTTTACGTTAGTTTGGAGATATCTTCATCACTTGGTATGAGAAATCGGTACAGGTTCCGTTGAGTCCATAATCCTGGCCCAATCCTCAGATAGAGATTCCCATCAAGTGATTTAAATTGATAGAGGAGTTGTTCCTCGATTGTCAGGTCTTCTGATTTGCGCTGGCAACATTGGTTGCGGAAGTTTGAAATGGTGGCACGAGTATCGTCGATCTCGTGTTCTTCGTCATTGTCGACGAGAGGCAAAATGGGTTTGTCACGCAACTGTGTTTCAAAGTTGGGAACGCATGCTTTCCTTGAGCCAATCTTCATGGTGAAGGAATAGGTTGGAGGGTAGCTGAAAGCTATTGTGTTTGTTAACAAAATGTACTTACGCTAAACAGCTAGTGTAAAGATCTTTCGAGTTTTTGGAGTTTTTGAGAATGAAAGTTATGAGAGAGATTAGAAAGCTTGAAAACTAAACAACGAGAGGATCATCATCAAAGGATCGTAGATCTGGCTTCCGCGGGGACTATAAAGTGTGTAGGAGTAGGTTGTGGTAGTAATCTACGTCTCTCACGATCTAACGGAACGCGTGGAAGGTTTGTCTAGCCTGGATCTAGTAGCGTGGAAGTACTCCACGCTGGCTAAATATCTAGAGCGATGTTTCATCATCAACCTAGTATGACTAGCGCGGTCATTGAGTACCCTGTCTCAAATGACTATTCACGAGAGACTCAGTCATGAGTCGAACTCAACCCTATCTAGGATCGAGTCGCGAATAAGGCTAAGAGCCGTGTATTGCAGTAAGCTCAACAAGCACCAGCCAGCTACTTGTACAGCCACCAGCCATCGGAGACAAGGACCATTCATCAAGGCACCAACCGGGGTGACAAGTAACCATGCCTGTCAAGTACGGAACACCTGCTTACCGCAGGAAGATTGAAGCCAATCGGCGATCCAAACAGAAAAAGCAGGCACAACAAACAGACGAGGAATGGCAGGCTCAGTTGAAAGTCAAAAGAGAATTCATGCAGAAGCATCGAGAACAACAATCTATAGAAGAATATGAGATTGCCAAAATAAAGGATCGAGGGAGGAAACGGATCCGCCGCTTAAAGAATGAATTCTTCGATGCTGAAGCACACAATTTCAACGAAAACAGCTCTGGATTGATCGAGCTTTGGAAATAAACAAGATAAATGCTCAGCTGAAGATGGAGCGACAAGCTGCAGAAGCTACGTGGTGTTGAAGACCCAGAAAACGCTTTAGATAGAGGATGGCTGAAAGCTCAGCTTGCAGAACTCACAGAACAGGCAAAAAAAGAACACACAATCTTAGAGCATGATTGGGACGAAAGGGTACAGAAACTCTTTGGCAAGGATCCGGGTTTCTTCCAAGTAGAGATCAGCATATTTCAACATACGCATGATAGAAAGAAGATTGCGCAAGAGAGGAAAGATAGTGCAACGAATCATGATCTACAACTTGAGCGGGTTAAAAAATCACTCGACAAAGCACGTTGTGCCCGCCATACTCTAAGGTGGCGGAGAAATGTATTGCCAGGGATTCTAGAGAAATATGGCTAAATGAAATGCTTAAGGTACTGTGTTATTTTGGATGTATTAGCAAGTGGTTTACCTAACATCCTCGAGATTCTCCTCTTTGTATTCAATCGTGGGTTTGCTCTATATATTATAGATCAGCCGCAAGTTGCTTGCAGGAGGGTGGTTGTCCTTCTTCTGCCGAGGTATCGCAGCTCCCGCTGACTTAATATGTTGTGGCTAGTACGTAATTGGATCATTGAGTCTTACGGGACTTGAAGATGTCCTCTTTTTCATATTGAATGGGCAAGGAAGGCATTGGGCGTGTCTTCGGGGAGTCTATTAGCTAATGTACTATCAGGGTTCTCCCAATCTTTGACAATTCCGGCTTTCGTAAGATAGGCGGGTGTGATGCGCTTAGGGGGGTTTGGGATCTCCTCCACCAAAGCATTCATTGCCAGTTCTGCCAACGAAAAAAGCTGGTGTTGCCATGTAACCAAGCTACTCGGGTCTTGTGGAATGGGTTTGGGAAGCTGTCGCAAAAGTATAGCATTACCTTGATGGTCTTCTTGAGTCTTTTGTATTGACCCTTGATGAGATTCTTCTCGCTATGCAATTTGTTCTTAAACTCGCCGCTGTTCTTCTCGAGTTCGTAACCTTTGAAACACTTATCGGTGAAGTATCGAATGAACATATCCTTGAGGGAGAATTCTGTCCTCCAACGCTTCATGCTGTCTGAAAAGTACATGATGTCTTCGACAGGAGGTGCACGCACTGTTTTGTTGCTTTGTTTGTCGAACTTGATTTCGAGTATATTGACGACTCTGGCGAGGAGCTCGTTCTGATCGGCGACAACCTTTTCCAAGCGATTGTTCCTGTGGGTTAGATGGGCGACATCAAGGCGAAGTCGGGAGACGTCGTCTTCGAGGTTCATCTTCTGGGCAATCAACCGTTGTAGGAGCTGCAAAGACTGTTGTAGCGAACAAGGATCTAGGATCAACTTTTATGTCTCGAACTGTGTCTGGAGGCAAGAGATCAATTGGTAGAGCCATGAAATTGTTGATGCCAAAGCCATCCCGGACTTCTTTGCACCACTGATTGAAGGTATCGCGGGGGACTTTCGCGAGGTGCAAAGCCCTGTTGATAGTGTGGACAAGAGCGTGGCGGGAGTTAGACAACAACCAGTAGGCTGGCAACAAGTTCGGCCGTTGCTTAATGCAGTCCCACAAACTGAATCGAATCGAATCGAATCGCATGGACTGGTTGACAACACCATGCGCTACATGGTCAACCATGCCAACAACGGCTCAAATGACTTTGCTTCCATCGTGGAGCGACGGATTGATTTCCACGGAGGCTCTTTCATGGGTGAACCATGCAGCCGGCATGCGTCTCAGAATGAACGGTGTGACTCCGCGAAGGCCGCATCATCACCAAGGAATGAGGAAGAAAGAATAGTCGTAGTAGTAATAGTAGTTGCTGAGTGGCAAGTTAGTAGGGATGGATCCGCCTCCATCGGCCATCGTGGAAGGTTGTGGTGTTGCCGTTGCATGGTTCGATCACGCACAAGCAGATCTTATATTCAAGGGAAGAGTGCGGTCAGGTAGCAATTAGCCAGTTAGAATGTTGGGCGATTGTTAGTGGCATGCATGTGAGGACATACATGTACATAAACAACTATTACAATTTCTACTCAGTTTCGGATGGCTATCTATGGGTTTGGTGTTGGCGTGTAGCTATAGCAATCTGTGTTCTCTGTTGGCAGGAAGCTATGCATAATGCATGTCCTTGGCGTCAGTGGTGTTTAGCTGCCCTGCATTGAGTAGCTCCTTGTTGTTCTTCTCGATAACAGCTTCGTAGTAGCTCTCTAGCTCCTTGACATCGTCAGGACTCCCCACTGAGGAACATGGCGAAGAGAGAAAAAGCGAGTGGTCAGGTCTTGAAACGAACTATAGGTAGCTGGCTAGAACTGGTTTGGTTAGCACAAGTAAGTAAGTCAGTAAGTAAGTTTTCACTCACGTATGACTGGCACTCTGGCATGTACATCGGTGGGCAACACGTCCATGATGGGTCTTGTCCCTGTACTGGCCCGTCCTCCTGCCTGTTCCAAGAGAAAGGCCATGGGTGCCGCCTCGTACAATAGCCTGAGCTTGCCATTGAGACTGGTTCGATCTGCTGGATAGCCAAAGATTCCTCCGTACTAATATAAGAAACAGAAAAGTAGGTAGGGAGATGAGAGTCAACCACATTCGATTTGGTTCAAGCCATGTCCTTTTTCATTGACTCATAAACTCATTCAACTTGCACAACACACTTCTTACCATTAACGTCCGGTGGACATCTGCCACCATACTTCCAACGTATCGAGCCTTGTACTTGTTTTGTTGCTTTCCCATGCCCGTTTGAATGTCCATGATATAGTCTTGAATGGGTTGATCCCATTCCCATCGATTGCCTTCATTGAAGGAATAGATGGATCCTTGTTGTGGTATTTGAATGGACGGATGGGTCAGTACAAACTCTCCAATGGTTTCATCCAGTGTAAATCCATGCGTCCCATCGCCCAATGTCATGACCAAGGTGGTGGCCGAAGAATACAAACAGTACCCCGCCGCGACCAGATTCCGTCCCGGCTGTAGAACATCTTCGAGACAGAGCTGTCGATCGAGTTGACATTCGGTGCCATGTCGAAAGATGCCAAAAATGGTGCCAACGGGGATTCCGGAATCCAGATTGGCACTTCCATCCAATGGATCAAAGACGGCGATATAGGATTTTCCCGAATCGATAATGGCTTCGGGGAAGATGCCTTGTGGATCACTGGACGAGATGGGTTCGTCTTCTTCTTCACTGGCAATAGTCTTGAAATGGCCGGCCCAATTGAGTGCATTTTTGAGTACGTCATTGGCGATGACGTCCATTTTGGATTGTTCTTCTCCTTGAATGTTCATGCTGCCCTTGTAGTAGCCAGTATTGGCCTGCAGTGTGGATTTTCGTACCAGATTGGAAATGGCCTTGGCGGCCACTTGAATGCTGGTAAAGATGGATTCGACTTCGGAGAGTTCGGGATTCCAGCGTTCCAGTTCCATCATGTACCGACTCAGTGTGACTCCTGTTTGAGGACAGATATCGGTAATGGTGGGAGATTTGTTCCTTTTCTTCTTGTTCTTTTGTTGGCTATGGTTGTTGGTAGTATCATCATCATTGTCATCATCATGGTGTGGAATCAATCGAAGGGGAGATTCATTGTCGTTGGTGCGAGAGACGGAAAGTCTGGTTGCCATTTGCGTTGGAAGAGTCCTCATGGTGGGAGAGAAAGCCTGAGAGGGCCATGCCACAGCCACCACCAGCAACAACAATGATAGTAATACGATTGTCATGTTTGATTTTGATACAAAGTGAGAAGAGAAAAGAGACGACAAGAGCAATGCTGGTTCATTCCTTTTTACACAACAACAACTAACTAGCCAGCAGTAGCAACGATTAGTAGTAGTATAAGATTGACTTCACACTTGTACGGTAGCTTGTGAGTGACAAGGCAAAGCCCAAAGGAGAGCGTCGACCGTGGGAGTGATGGAAAGGCGAACAAACCCATCAAAATTCCAAAACGAGAATGTTTGATGGATGAATCGTGCGCCGAAAATCCAGCCATTCAACGGAATCAGAATCTTTTTCTCATTTCAAGGAATCTGGAATCTAATTTTGATGAACGTGTAAAGCATGTCTCAACTCGAATGACGTACCCCCACCACCAAAACAATGACGAAGAGCTTTTTTCTTCGTTCCTTTTTCTCATTCGCCAACAACCACAAATTGTTTTTTGTCATTCCGACAAGCATTACTGTATTGCAGCAACAATCCACAACCTCTTTTCGACCAACTCCACTCCAACTCGAACTACCGATACTAGCTAGTCTACAATGAACTTTCGAGCCGCCCGAGCCTTGAGTGCGAACCGACTAAGTGCTGCTTTTGTCCACCGTTCCGCTGTCACCACACGACCACTGGCAGTCCTTTCCCACACCCTCCGTGTTCCACCCACCACAGTGGCGTTTCCAACATCAGTGCGATCCTTTAGCAGCAGTGCAACTCCCTTAAGCATGGCGTCGTCTAGTTCTACCAGTGGCGACGATATTTTGGCGTCCTTTTCGCAGCCTCAGCACGGCCAAAATGTGGCACTGGCTATGGAATCTCTGGCGACGGCCGATGCCGTTTGTTTTGACGTGGATTCCACCGTGATTGCCGAAGAGGGCATTGACGTGTTGGCCGAGTTTTTGGGACAAGGACAAGCCGTGGCCGCATTGACCAAACAAGCCATGGAGGGATCTCAAAAATTTCAAGACGCGCTGAAAGACCGATTGGAACTCATGAAACCGTCGAAACAAGCCATTCTCTCCTGCTTGGATCAAATGCCATTGAAACTCAGTCCCGGTGTGGCCGAATTGATTCAAGCACTGACCGACAATGGGGTGCACGTCTATTTTGTCTCGGGGGGATTCCGGATCATGATTGAACCCGTCGCCGAACAAGTGGGAGTTCCGGTCGATCGCATTTATGCCAATACCATTTTATTTGACGAACACGGCACGTATACCGGATTTGATCCTACCGAACACACCAGTGCCGACATGGGCAAACCAGCGGCACTTTCAGCCATTAAAGCTGCTCATGGCTATGACACCATGGTCATGGTGGGAGATGGCGCCACGGATGCTCAAGCCAAACCACCCGCCAATGCGTTTATCGGATTTGGTGGAATCGTCGTACGACCGGCCGTACAACAAGCCGCCGATTGGTTCGTCACCGATTTCCAAGACATGACCCGGATTGTACACACGTACCATCACAACAACAACAGCAAGTTGAATTGAAAATTGGAAGTAAAAAACCATTGGAATGAAAACCAAAAATGGCAAAATGGAGATTGGAACGGTAGAGCCGTCCAAAAGGGAGACTTACACCGAGAATTAAAAACTGAAGCTAAAACTAAATAATAAATTTTGTAACTATCTGGAATGGTTGCGGCATTGTTTCTGCTAGATAGACCAGACCCCATCCGCTAGATCCCTTGGCTAGATGCTCAAAAGCCAAAGGGCCAGACCTCCTTGATGCTCAAAAGGCGAACGGAGTCAGGGTATCTTGTGGACACCGCAGGGATGAATCCTTCTTTACGATTGCCGATGTCTAGAAGATTTTTTGCGAGTCCTCCATCCACAGATCCATCCAGCCTCCCTTTTCCGGTTGACGCATCCCATGTCAACGTGACTTTTGAGCCTGATTCAAATCTAGACACCCGTCCACCATCCCGAATGGTCCTACCATCAAACTCCACAATCCCATTTCCACAATATGCCACTCCTACAAATCTCTCATGGCAGGCACATTTGTTTCCATACTGCCCCTTTCCTGCAACCACCATTCCAAGCCAGACATTTTCAGCATCCTTCAAAATTTCAATGGTCCATTCAACCTTCTTCCCTGGTTTGATTGGAGGACAATTTAACAAGTCGGTCTTCAAATCCCCAAATGATGAAATGTCTGTTCCCGAACTGGTCCAGACCGGTGTTGATGTCATGGTCCAGTCCAGTGTTGATGCTATGGTTGTTCGTGCAAGCATGCCATACTTTTGCTTGGCATAAAGTGCTTGGGCCTGAAATGCATTGTAGACTTGTTGGGTTGTGGCAAGACCAGATGGTAGCACAGTGGAGGTCAAAAAGTCTGGGTCAAGGTCATCCAGGCAGATATGCTTTTGGATGAGCTCCTGCGCATATTTCTTTTTCTCTTCATCTGACCCAACCCAACCCAGCATGATTTCAAATAGAAGGTACTGGTCCCGTTTTGTCTTTGTGTCATCTTTGACAATCTCTTCTAGTATAGTAGCTTTCATGGCTGCCACCCAAGTGTTGCCATGTTTAATGCATTCTTGATTAGTTCGAACAATGGTGAGGGCAAGGGTCATGGCTCCCTCTAGGATGGTGGATTCCTGACATGTTTCCAGGACAATGAACGATAGTGTGGGCATCTCATTCAGTGAATGAACGATGGCATTGAAGGCTTTCTTGTGCAGCTTGGGGAGCTGATAGAAATGGGATGCTTCCATCAAAGACAACATTGTAATCGTTTCCTGTTTTTTCTCTTCGCTGATCTTGTCACACTCTGGGCTCTTGCGTTTTGTTCCACTTGTTACAGTAACAAGCCCAGTGCCATCAGTATGGATGTATTCCACAAGGGCTTCCATAACTTTCCCAGTGTATTGCACTTCCACTTCATTGCTGGAAGATTCTTTGTAATGACCAAGAAGCATTCTTTCAAAGACTTCACTTCGAAAGGAAAGGGCATAACGATTCGATGCGATGATGACCCCATCAGTGCATTTCAGTTTGATATCATGGAATTTTTCATCTTTCCAGAAGCGACTGAGAGCTTCTTCCACAGGAGATTCCTCCTTCATGCCATCTGTGTTGCTCATGGTAGTCTCGAGAAATTGATAGCTGTGTTGTGAGCAATTTCGGCAAGAAACAATGAGCTCCTCCCCAGCGACCAGACTCGTCACCGTGGAAGGTTGTCGTTCACCTCGTAGCGTGGAAGGTCAGGTTAGATGCTCCAACTGACTCACTCCGACACTCTAGCTAGAGCTAGTACATGTAGACTACATGTACCGGTACGGTAGCTAGTACCGGTAGGGAAAACTGCTTTTGGCACGTGTTGTGTGGATCCTTCACGGCGTGGAAGGCTGCATTCGGAGTTTCTCGAATTTGCCTTGCACGGGTGCCGCAGGAAGGATCGATACCGATAGCTGGGTTGGGAGAGTGTCCACGTTCATCCACGATACCGGTATGGCTGGCATACTAGCCACCTTGAGACGCTAGCTGGCTAGTACTGGCTTGAGTACATGTAGTGACAGCAAACTAGTACTAGCTAGTAGCTATTTTAAAATAGCAAAAGCAACAGCTTCGATGCCACGGTGAAAGTCTGGTCCTTGAGAAAGCAGGTTCTGACAGCTTGCTTTGAGTACCGCCTTTCCGTGCAAGATTTATGGTCAACCCAACAGATCCGCCTCGCCACCACCAACGCCCAACCATGAGAACACCATGAGCATGACATCGTCGAATCGAATCAAAGGGTTGCCAGGAGGAAGTAACACATGCGAAAGATGGCGGAGGTACAGCCAGCAGGACCACTGGCCGAGGAGGTGGTAGTAGGAGCACCGTTAGGCGAGGAGATCCAAAGGCACGCAGAAGAAGAAGCGAATGCCGCCCAAGCCGACCACTTGGAACAAGAAGAAGACGTGAGTGCTGCCTTCTTGTTGCGACGCATCTTGGGCCCCACAGATCCCCGTCGCATGGAGTTATCCAAGGAAGAACGAGATTGGGCGTTGGATATCAAGGATGCGGTTCAAGAAACGGCCGAGTTGAACGCCCTCACAGATTTCCAATACGCGCAAATGGCGATTATTCATCAAGATGATATTGGCGCTGCCCTGGAAGCCGCCGAAGTGTTGCAGGAAACGAGAAAAGACTACGACATTCTAGAGACTGTTCCCGATGCCCAAAAGAGAATTGAAACATTGCTTCAACTGTCACCGGGCATGAATGTATCCTTCTCCTTTTCCCACGACGATGGATGCTACGTGTGTGTCTTTGACTATGCCAAGCTGGACGTGCAAAAGTTGAACATTGCCGACAATGCCCGCAATTCTGTTGCCGGAGGATATTATCAATTGCAAAGTTTTTCACCCGACTTGGATTCCGTTCGCAAGGGATCCATTTGGTTGGTCGAATGCGACGGATACCATTGGATACCCCAACGGGGAGATTTGAAATTCTCACGAGAATATTGGACTGTCCTCGGGGGTGTCTACCCCTTTCGACTACAAGCCTACAAGTGCTTTCATACACCCGTACTCTTCAATGTTATCAAATCCATGATACGCCCTTGGGTGCCTAAAGATATATACGGCATTATTCAATTGGGATGTCGATCACCGGGACGACTCGACTCCTTTTACATGATACCCACTGGAGAGGCGGCCAATCAACGCTATCTCAAGCGCATCCTCGAAGCACTGCAACGACGATACGAGAACGAACGAAACTTTCGATTGTGAAAAATTAGGGGTTGCCCGACGTTTTCCCTTGGCAATCCTTTTCGTGCGAGATTTGCGTGGATGGATTGGAACGATGCTGATGGCAGCACGCTTGGAAGATTCTATTGCCACCAAGAAGTCGGGCAATTCAAAGGTGTCATTGCCAAACCAGGCTGCCACCATGCAGCACGATCTAGTCAGCCAGCTGGAATTGCACAAGTTTTCGGGCTCAAGCGAGTGAGTGCGGCAAGTGGCCCTTCTTGTTTTGATTCGCGCAGAGTCTTCAGGCGTGGCGCGTCGCCAAGGAGCTTGTCTGTGTGGATCATCTGGAGCCTACAAGATAGCTTGATTCAATTTCTTGGATCTAGCTGCAATGAAGTATTTGCATGTTGCCATTAAAGGCAGCGATCTCAAAGTCTCCTCGAGGTTCACGTTGGGGTTTCCTTCTCGGACCAAGCCAGGAATTTCTTTGCTTGGGCGTTGGCTGACTACTTCCCTTGCTGCCCTCGGAAGAAGCTGCAATATGCAAGCGGTAACTAATAACTGAACATTGTGCCGGTGTGGAAACAACACTTTTGGACGTCTCTCGACTGGGATGTGAGCGAAGGAACAAACCGCTTATCATTGCAACCGGTACCACCTTGCACATCGTGCCCCTGTAATACGGTAAACAAGCAGTGGTGGGTAGATCTCTCATCGACTGCCTTGGTTGTACTACTAATACTAGTAAAGCCCCTACGTTTTGATGGGTGTTTGGCTGTTCGAAAGCAAAGCGAGACGGTACGGTCTTGCCGCGGTAGAGCCCATGCATAATCGTAGCTCTACTAGTTAGAGGTGCGCATGGTACAGGCATGCAATCAGAATTGGCAGATCTCTCATCGACTGGGTTTTGGCTGGCGATCTATCTGTCTACTGGGTTTGTTTGGTCTTGATCCAAAACCTATCGTAGCCGTGATGGCAGTGGCACTTTACCAACTTCCAGGCTTCCAGGACTGTTTTGCACCGGCACATAATGCAAGGATTCACATTCAATAATGGATCCAATCATTCACACTTGTTTTGTTGTAGCGGTAGCCGTGAGTCGCCGTTGGTTATGCCCATCCCAGCTCCCATCCTTTAATTCCACCGATTTGCTTCAGTCACAGATCTAAGCTGTCTGGTGGGTGGTACACCTTTGACAGGTCATGTTCACACCACCACACTACCGCCGGTAATAAGGGAAAAAATTAATGTTCAGACGCTTGAAGTCTTGAAGTGGGTAATAAAAGGAATCCAAAGAGAGCAGCGCCACATAGACGGTAATCTTGAAGCCAAGCTAACAGCAGCACATGTTAGTAATCTTTACCATTGCGACACGGGCTACCAGTTCACACTGTGGACCGCTCTACCGGTATTTGGATGAGGGCTTCTTATTATTATAGTACCAGCACGAGTACCGTAGCAAATCTGATGATGTGTTTACCGGTTTTGATAATATGGTAGCTACAAGGTCTCCTATTACGACTGCCCAACGGCAAAGCTGCAGGGGCGGGGTTGCGTTTTTGGCCAGGGTTCAAGCGTTCAAGCCGCTGTGGCCTGGGTGGGTTGGATGAAGCAGCACAGAGCACAGGTTGCCGATGTTCTATGGCAAGTATCTTAGCTACAGTTGCATTCGGTATCTTCTTGCGAAGACCGCCCCTTTAGAAGGATGTACTCGAGTAGAAAAGTATCTAATTTGAGAACCGATTGCTAGCTAGAACCCGGCACATGTAGTATTAGTATAGAGAATAGTTTTAGGTTATGAGAAAGTGTTGTCTATATCTAGCTGTTACTGTAGCAAGGAAGTGTGCCAGGTAAAGGGAAGGATGGTATATCTATCTATCTAGTGAGTTCTGGCTCGTACTCGTCGTGTGTGTTCTTCTTGTGAAGAGGATGAAGAGGATGAAGAGGAACGCTTGCTGCTGCTGCTATTCTTTTTGAAGGGCATGGGGTAGCGAGCCATGTCGGGAATTTGAGGTGCTGCTGCTGCTGCTGATGATGGCTGGTAGACATCATGGAAATCTTGATCGGCTTGTGCCTTGGCAGCTACTGCAGCCCATCGGTTGCAGACCCGTGCCAGCTTGGAAAGTTGTTCCGGGCTGCAGTGCTTTTGGTTCTTGACAATGCTCTTGAGAATGGTAAACTTGCGCGTTTGGCGTGCCGGAGAAGTCTTGAGCTCGAGGCCTCGGCTGGTAGTTTCTTCTTCTTCTTTTACTACCAGTGGGCTGCTGATGGTCTTGCTGATGTTCTGGCAGTCGGTTTCATCTTCCTCGTCATCTTCGACCAGGGTACTCTGCACCAGAAAGGCAATTCGTTGCTGCTCAATCTCGTTGGTTCGGAAAGAAACTCTTCGAGGGGCGATTGGCTCGGCATCATCCTTGAGAGGAGAGACGGATGCGACCACTGGAGAGAGGGGAGACGACATGGAAAGAGGCATCAGAGGAGCTGAAGCAGAGGTATCAGATGGGATAACAATCATGGTTAAGTTGTTTGTTTGTTTAGTGATGAGCAGAAAAGTAATGAGGAGATCTAGGACTGATGAGAGATGGAATCCTTGGAAAGTAAGTTATGAGTGGAATCCGAAGGGTTTGCTGGTGGCTCTTTTGCTTTTACTTTTGCTTTTTGCTTGTCGGTGGTATTGTTATTGTCGCGGCACTGGACGGATGGCGTATCAACAGTACCGAGAACGACACAAATAGGGCTGCTTTCTTCTTGGTCTGGAAGCAGAAGCGATGCCTTTTAAACAGACTGGGTTGGGAAATTGACAAAGGTGCGACCATCTCACTTTTCACTAGCTAGCTAACTCAGTCCAGCTCCCACCAGTACTGATTTCTCGCAGTCAAATCCACATTCACACCACAGCCAGGCTTAAAGGCTTAAATAAATAAAGTCATCACAAACTAAGATTGTTACAGGGGGTTGGATGTCTCCAGTCGTAGTAATACTGGGATAGATGGATCGAAATACAATAGAATTATCCAAGCTTTACCTCAACTACGCTTCGAAAGAAGGAAGTGGACAAGCGCTTTTGAAGAGACAGTGGTAAAGTGGTTCCTAAACGCGATAAGAGCGGTCACCCGAATGTAAACATTGCTTTGCTACTCGTGCCATTGTGCCCAGTGCCACTGACAATATTTGACAGTAGAGCGCTTCTACTAAAGTGGCCTTCCCTCCAAGCGAGACCAAGGTCCAAGCTCCAAGAATAGATTGATACTTAACCTGTAACTTACTTGTGTCAAATATAAAAGCCCTGATAATGAGGACCATTGCCCATCAGAAGCCTATCAAACAAACCGGGAAACACCTAATTAACCAAATTTATCAGACTGGTGTAGAAATATTGCATGCAGAGTGGGTTAGCGGTGGGTGTGCCAGTCTGGATTATGGTGTACTACGGGGTACTCTTGAGTGGTACCGGCGTACAAGCGCCCTCTTGGAATGGCTGCATAGGCCTTGAAGTTTCCCGTTCATTATGCTGTTTGATAGAGGAGTGACCACGTGTCCCCATGTACGGTTGCGAGCCTTGGAAAGCCTAACTGAGCTACCACCGACTTCTGGCTACTGAGCGCCTCTTACCATGCAGTTGATAAGACTAGTACTACCGGTAGGGGGACAACATTGCTATTAAGACTGTCACGGTACCGGTGGCTGGATATGCTTGGAGCTACCTGGATAAATGCTCAAGCAGCCTTCGAAGGGTCTTCCCATAGAATCCTTCCAAGTCGAGTACAATGTTTAACTAAAGACGACGGAATAGGGACTACTCAAGTTGTATAGAAACCAAAGGAGGACCCTTGGACATTTTGTTGCTGGGACACAAAATGCACAAGCATTAAATTTTTCTTCTTTGAGACTCTCTCATAAAGCAATGAAGCTGCTTGAATACAAAGTGGTCGAATATTTTTCGAAAGTCCCGCAGCGAAACCGAATTTGGATCTTTATTAGGTGACGTCAGTGACGCCAAGCCTCATTGCTTTTCGGCAAAGCACCCTCCACTTTCAAGTTGCTCAGTCTTCAAATAACTCTGAAAGGAAAATGATGATGATGACGAGAGCAAAGTTTGGAATCGTTTTGATGTTGGCAGGACCTGTCAATGGTGCCTTTGTCCCATCCCAAAAACCCTCCATGCCCACGAACTTTTTCCACATTGCGGGCGCAAAAGATCCTGACTGGATTGACAGTCCTTTGTCGGAAAACCACGACAATGAGATTCATCATTCGGCAAAAGATTCTAGTCGACGAAGACTCTTGTCGTCTTCCTCGGCAGCCATGTTGGCGGTGGGCACCATCATGACCCCCTCCACCGCCATGGCCGGCAACTCCAAATCCCGGACCGACGGATATACCGTCCAAAAATCCGAAAGCGAATGGGAATCTCAATTAAGCGACATGCAGTACTACGTGCTACGACGAGGTGGTACGGAAAGTCCCAACTATAGTATTTTGGAGGGAGAAGACCGTTCCGGCATATTCTCGTGTGCCGGCTGTGGCACGGACTTGTTTGCGTCGCAAGAAAAGTTTCACAGTGGTACCGGTTGGCCGTCATTTGCCCGGGCATTGCCGGGTGTCGAAGTGGAAGCCGTCAATGCCGTGACAGCCAATTTGGTGGGTGCCGAGCTGCGATGCAAAACGTGTGGTGGTCATTTGGGGGATGTCTTTAGCGATGGGTTCCTGTTTGTAGGCACTCCTGCCTTTGTGAGTGGCAAGCGTTATTGCATTGATGGTGCCGCACTGAATTTCACTCCGGCGCAAGACGGAGCACCTATTGTTCGTGGCGATACCATGAAACCACAAACTACTAGTACGCCTTCGTGGTTGGATCCACCCAAGATTACAGCACAATAGCTGCTAAGGAACTAAAAAGTCAATCAGAAGATGATACCTGATAGGCGCACAAACAACCCGAGTGCTTTAGATTGCTCTTCTTGGGCGTGACTGAAAAGGGAAGCTTTGAAAGCGAGCTATGCCGTGGCTAAATGAAGTTACGTACAACTATGTCTCAATTAGCTAGAGAAGTAAATCCAACTTGGCACACCGTACGTTTTCAACATGACTTTACGCTTACTTATTTTTCTTGTTTGACTCGCTCAATGACAAAAATGCCAAAGGTTTGTCCTTGAAAATCTCGTTCCAACAAGTGATCGGCAAACTTTTGGTATCGAAATCCAGCGGTTCGCAACTTGTGAAAGAATTCCGGTTTGGTATCGTTCATGGTACATCCAATGAGAATACAAGTGTTGTCATGTGCAAATTGCTGTAGAGATGTAATGAGTATATCGTACAAGTCTTCGCGGTACGCCACATCCGATCCCACAATCAAATCAAATTGGATTTGGCCCTGTTGGACTTGCTCTGAAAACGTTATGGGTGCTTTATTAGTATCAGCTTCTTCGGATGCGGAAGTGGATGATGGTAGAAAGGATCCCCAGGAATGATCCAAGACATGAACATTAGTGGTGGCTGATTGAGCTTCTCCTTGTACCTGTAATAAATGGGAATTGGCGTCCAGTGTCTTTTGAATCAAGGGTAGATGATCGGCTAAATCCGTAATGACCAGGTCTCGAATGATGCAAGCTTGTGTACCGGTACTACTAGTTTTGGCCAACAATTGTTTGGACAGAGCCAAAAGACAGACGGACAACAAGCCATTCCCTGATCCCAATTCCAACACCGACAAACCAGCAGTACTAGATCTACCGATACTAGAATCCGCCATTTTCTGCAGGTTGGCATTGGCATGAGGAGTCGTCAGGTACCGACTAAAGGCGAGACCCGTCGACCACAAGCCACCGCCGATCCCCTGGTTCCAATCTTCTTCAAAGTAAATTGGAATACCACTGCCATTCTCTTCTTTGTCGTCGCCTATAGACAGGAATGGTGCTGATGCTGGTACTATTTCGGTTGACATAGTAGCTATAGAAAGTATCCACTTACTTGAATCGAATCAAAGGCTCTCCATGGTGGGGACAACAGCGACAGATCGGCGCAACGGCGCAACCTTGCCTTTAGAAGGAGACGAACCCAAAAGATCCAATCAAAGGGTTAACCTTAGGGTTCAAATGGATGGCATAAATTTGGAGATTTAACCTGCAGAGTTGCTGATGCTTGGGCTTCATTTGGCCGTTGCTTCCACTCAACGGGCAATGACAGCGAACCTGCTCCACGGCAACACTTACGGTGCGGATTGCTGTCTTGTCTTGAACAACAGACAGCCAAGTGTGGCATACAAGACAATCGAAGGACACTAGCCAGGTGGTACGAGTACCAACAATGCATGCCATGAGGCAAGCAGGTAGTTTCAAGAAAGGCTATCGCCGAGTAACTTTTGTTCTTGAACTCTTGCTGTGGCTCGTTTTCGTGGATGCACGTAGCCATCTTCAAGGAAGTGATCGACATGAAGAGCACGAAGGACCAACAATAGCAAGACAACTGGATGTGGACACTGATATTCGAGGAGGAGGAGAGAGTGGTCCTATTGAGTATGTGGGGATCTTTCAGGATGTCTCTGAGGTTTGTAGCTGCACACTAATCCACTCCGACATGTGAGTCTGTGTGTGGTTTTGTTTGGCGGTGTTAGTCGGACTGACAGAACCCATTCACCTTATCGTTCTTCTTTTTTCTTTCCACAAGTGCCCTGACAGCAGCCCACTGCGTGGATGGAGATTTTCCACCCATGGTCCGCTTCAATTCGTCCCAGCGATTTGAAGGAGGGACATTGGTAAATATAACGGGAGGAGAGCTACATCCCTTGTGGGATGGATCGTTCAGTAGTGGTTTTGATATTGCCATTATGAAACTATCTGCTCCGACATCGCTAGCTGTATGTTGGTTGAACGACAATGTCAAAGTTCCATCGTTCACTGGTGAACCCCTCTTTGCCGCGGGATTTGGATTCACCAACACGGGGTCCGGTTTGTCCATGACACTTCAGTCCACTACCATGCCCTACATTAAGGATTGTACGAACCTTTCCAGCAACTATCAAAGGGAACGGCATATTTGTGCCAATTCGACACTGACTGCCACTTGCGGTGGAGGTGCGTACTAGTATACGAATGCCACCCGCCTTCATCAATCGTCGACAAACTTACACCTTGCCGTCCTCCAATCCCCCAACCACTCTGACAACAACTTACTACTTACCAAATTTATTATATCTATCAAAATGACTGTTCAGACTCGGGAACTGGGATATTCATAAATGGAACCGACATACAGATTGGCATCAACTCCTTTTCCAATGGACGTTGTGATGACCAAACGCTAGATTTTTACACCCGAGTCAGTTTCTTTTACAAATGGATCCAAAGTGGCATCTGTGACTTTTCCAGTGATCCACCGGCGGAATGCCCTACTCCCATGCCTTCTGTCATGCCCACACCAGCACCGTCGTCGTCACCGCCCACCTGTCACTCGTCCTTTTCGGAAAAGGTTCAGGCGACACGAGACGCCATCTTTGAATTCTGGTATGCTCTGGAACAACAAGCTGCAGAACTTTTAGTGACACCATGAGTTGATTGCAATTGATGGGATTATGGATTCCGAGCAATTTGCCTATTGGAAAACCTACGCACCACAAGCCTACAACCTGGTAGTAGAGCAAGGTGACAGCCCTGAGAGCATTTAGTTTTGGCGGTTTGCAAAGTCTGGTAGAAGCGATAAGTCGAGAGGCTCTGGAGACGCACACGGCAAACTTGCTCGTATTGTTCATTCAAAACCATGAATGACTCCTCGGCCGTTGCATTTGCTAGTTGCCACAGCTAACGGCGGCGTCTCCACTCGAAAAGACCACCGAATGATATGCCTGACTGGCACTGACAAACGAAGTCAATCTCAGGCACAACAAGTCATGAGAACTTAGCATTGATGGTACAGCAAACGCATGAAAAACAAGACGGGCAGAAAGATGGCTTGACATCGTCGAATTAGTATTAGTGACTCTCTAACCAGCTAGTACTGATTGTTATTCCTTACTCGCTAGCTAGCTAGCTAGCTACGAACAGCAAATAATCGCTCAGGTGGCTGATGCAAGCTGAGAAGCAGGCACTTAAAAAAAATTGGGCCAACAACGATGGTTTTGATGTCTACCCGCGGAAGTGCGACTGCATGTTGTGGATCAACTCCCGCGACAGCTCACAAAGTGAACGATCTTTCCTGACCAAGCTCGACCGTTGGAACTGACAACAGCAAGAATCCTGTGCACCAAGGATCAACCGCAGGCTCTTACAAAAGCAGCCACTCTCGATCCTCCATTGGATGGACAGCTGCAGCAACACTGTATCAAAGTACCAGTAAAGGATCATCATGGCACAAGTGTTTCAAAGGATATTATCCAAGGCATCGTTTGGGGTGTTTCTGTGGGCGCTGTTGTCGCTAGGACCCGTTCATGGTGGCAATATTACAGTAAACGATACCGATGCCGACTCGGAGATTCGAGGTGGATCTCCCAGTCCTGCCCTGTCTTACTATGGAGCTTTTTCGGGAGGCAACACGGTGTGTGGTGCTGCCTTGATTCACGGAGACATGGCCATTACAGCAGCTCATTGCGTGGCCAATGGGATTCCAGCTGGTTTGCGCTTCAATTCGGAACAACGCACCACTGGGGGGACAGTGGTGGGTGTGACAGGAGTTGTACGTCATCCCGGGTGGACTGGTAGCATTACCAGTTTTGACATTGCCATTCTTTTGCTGAAAGAATTGGTGTCTCTGCAGCCAGTAACACTGAATTCTGATGGATCGATACCCTCTAGCAATGGCGAACCGATGCGGGCCATGGGATTTGGATTGACTGGTGATTATTCGGGTGTTTCCAATCGACTCTTGGCCACCGATATTCCTCATAAAATCGACTGCTACGATCAATTGGGATCCAATTTTGTGCCGAGCCGAATGATCTGCGGAGACTCGAGAGAAAAAGCTACCTGTGGAGGAGGTATGTTTTCAGCGAATTTGTTTGATCCTACCGATATCGGTATTCTGCTTTTGGGCGTCTGAACCTCATTCTTGTTCATGCTACGTACCAAACTACAGACTCTGGTTCACCGATTATGGTCCCTGGCACAACCATCCAAATTGGGATCAACTCCTTCTCCAATGGCGGCTGCAATGGCCAAACGGTGGATGCCTACACCCGCGTTTCAACTTACTACAGTTGGATTCAAAGTCAGATTTGCATTCACTCTCGGAGCCGACCATCAACGTGTGACGGAGATCCCAGTCCCACGCCACAACCCGCATCGGGTCCTGCACCCGCACCTGCGCCACAGCCCACCATTGGAACATCTCCTTCCGATTGCATCTACAGCATTTTTGGCTTGCCAATAGCTTTCAGGAACACCTTGTTCAACTTTTGGTACGGTGTGGAGCAATTTGCTGCCGCGACAGAGCCAGGGCAAGACGCGGAACCATGATACGGTAGTACCCACAAAGCCTCGTGAGACATATATACATTGGCAGGGAGCTGCAGACGAAGCTAGCAACCCCTCATCCGTACATAGATCGTCTAGGTACGAGAAAAACGGACTTTGTGACAATGTTGTTCTGGGGAGTAAACGGCGGAACGCATCGAATGGCTGTAAGGGCCATTGGCGGCAGTCCGACAAACCACAAATAGCTTTAGTCAGCTACTACATACGGTACGACTGCTGCATTAATAATGAAAGATACTTATAAGATGGAATTTGAAAAGACATGAGCGACCGGCGCTGAAATGCTGATGTTACTCTGCTTTGAAGCGCCGAAACAGCAGTGAGAAAAGCTCTGGCAACTGGCGATAAAGTATCACAGGGAAAACGTGCACAACGCGGTGTTGTCGCCCAGCTTGCTTGGACGTTGTTTTGCTGGCCTTGGACGGAGAAGAAATCATTCGCTTACTAGTAGCCAAAGAAGTTTCAGCAACGGTTCTGGTTAATTCATCATCGGGGTGGCTATTATTATAAACAGTCGAGAAGCACCGAAAGAAACACCTCGAAAACCAACACTGACTCCATAAATATTCCACAATCGCGCAGCGATTGCAGCGAACATTTCGACGGTGTCATCCTCGTCGTCACCATCGTCGTCACCATTGTCCGAGCAAAGGAGCTAGCTCCTAAAGCGCGACATCAGGAAGGGAAGACGCCAAATACTATTGGCCATTGGCTCCCCCTCTAACCTTACGCGTTCCGGAAGACTTGCACAAACCATCAACCAAAAGCATGCAGCGACAACCAAAAACGAACTCACGATACGAGCCAAAACTATCGTACGTGATTTGCACAACAGGAGTGCCACCGTTCCACCATCACGGCCGTAACTTGCTCCACTGCTGGTGCAGAGACATTGTAAAGCTTGACTTCCCTGGCTTCATTCACTTTTGCATTTCCTCCTTCATACGTAAAGAAGTGGTGCTTACCTGACATTGCTGCCATTGATCCAAACCAGTTGGGCACATAATACCCTCTGGGAAAGAACTCAAACAAGGATCCACATTGAGGTATAAACATGCTCGTGGTGAACTGCTGTCCATGGGGGCCCATGACAATATCTACCTCTGACATGAAGTTGATTTGTTCGATCCAGGACGTGCCGTTAAATGATGGTACGTATCGCACAGCATAGCCAGCTTTGTTGAGTCTTGCAAGGACCTCATCACTGTTGGCA